AAAGTTGTAATGGTAGATTGGGGTCAGACCCAGGGGCCGCTAGGATTAAGGAGTTTGTTGTTTAATGAACACTTGGCATTTTACAGGAAATGAAGGTGCAGTGCAAGTTTTATGATCAGAAGAAAAACTTGATCACAGGCAAATTAATTTAGTAGTCACTATAAAAATGGATTGGAGCTTGGAAAGATTGGAAGATATTGGGTAAGTCTGTTGAGAGCCCATTCTAATGCAAAGGCTCAGGTGAGATGTACTGAGAGCTGAAACATGGGCAGTGCAGGAGATACTGAGTAGAGAACAGAGTTTAAATGATTTCAGAGAGAAACTTGGCAACATGGAGCCTTTGAGTGGGAGTGAGTAGATGCTTCAATCAAATGTTATTTTGTATAATTCCTTTAACATCCAATCAACATTTCTTCATAAGAATATCATGAGATGTAGGTGGCCAAACGTCTTCTTGAAATCAAGATGTGTTTTGCTTTTCCATTTTTCTTGACCTACCCTGATCTTCGTATTCTTAGTAAACATGAGTTTCCTCCTTGTCGTCATCATCACTGCCTTTCCTATGCATTTACAACAAGCTTTTTAAAAATTGTGGTAAAGAAATACATAATATAAATTTACTCTTAACAATTTTAAGTGTACAGTACAGTATTGTTAACCATACCACATTATTGTATAGCAGATCTCTAGAACTTTTTCATCTTGCATAACTGAAACTCCATACCCACTGAACCACAGCTCCCTATTTCCTCCTCCTTCCAGCCCCTGGCAACCACTATTCTACTTTCTGTTTCTACGAGTTTGACTACTTTAGATACTTCATATTAGTGGAATCATGCATTATTTGTCTTTTTGCGATTGGCTTATTTCACTCAGCATAATGTCCTCAAGGTTCATCCATATTATATCATATGACAGGACTTCCTTTTTTTTAGGGCTGAATAATATTTTATATAATAACATATATAATATAATATATAATAATGTAATACTTCATATAATAATATATAATGTAACAATAATATGTCAATAACATTTCATCATTTTCTTTATCCATTCATCCATTGATGGACATTTAGGTTGCTTCCACATCTTGGCTATTGTGAATAATCTTGCAATGAACATGAGTATGCAAGTACCTCTTCAAGATCCTATTTTCAATTCTTTTGCATATATACCCAGAAGTGGGATTGCTGGATCATACTGTAGTTCTAGTTTTAATTTTTTAAGGAATCTCCATACTGTTTTCCATAGCAGCTGCACCATTTTACAATCCCACAAAGAGTCACCAACCACTTTTAAAATAGTCCATTTCAGAATGTTTCTGATGACAAATATTAAGCTCATCAGTGAGTGACTTCTGAAATCATGTGAAGATCATAGTATGTGATCCTCATCCAGAGCCCTGCCTTCTAACCAACATAGTAGGAGCTCAATAAATATTTGTTAAATGAAAAATTGAACAACTTCAGACTTCTGCTGTGTTTTCTCATTTTCTATGTTCCTATGATTCCACAGAACCAGATAATGTTTAGAGGTCAGAGGGCTTGAAGATCATTTGGTACAGCTCCATAATTTGATGGGTGAAATTATGTGATTTTTTCCCCCAAAGTTGGGCCAGGAGAATTGAATTTATTTAAAGAAAGCTGATTCTTTTCTTTTTAACCTACCCTCAGATTTCAGTTATCTTTTAACTATATAGGTTCTACTCTTCAGTCTGAAAATAGTTGTCCTTGTTTTAGAACATGAAAGCAAAATGGACTTAGGTAGTTGTTTATCTTAATGAGATTTATCCTTCAACAGGATAACTTTGGGAGGTTAAACACCTAGGTACTTCTTACCTCTTTCAGGACCAGCTTAGAAACTATCCAAAGAAGTCATTAGAGTCACCATCAGTGTAATCACTAAACAAATTAATCAGATTTGACCCTTAAAAACTTGAATATTTCAAAATTAAGCCCACTCTGAAAGGACAAAGATTTGTCACTATTGGGAATATTTACTTACTAAATAATAATGGCAATTACTTGTAGAGCTACGCACCAGGTACTTTCCATGCATTATACTATATCACAGCAGCCCACTGGTATTATAGTTATTCCCATTAAATAGATGAGATTTGAGAGCATAAATAACTTGTCTACATAACACCAAAATTTGAACCCTAGTCTGTCGGACATCAAAAATTATGCTCTTAACCACTGCAGTGTTACCCACTATATGCAAGGTACTGTGCTGGAATCTGTGGGGCATTCAAGATCTGAGTGACAAAACCTTACGTAGCTTATGCAGCCTAGTACTGAAGACAAGTATTATACATGAAAGAAAATGTAACTGTCCAAGAAGACATGTACTGTGTTATTTAAAGAAGTATGCTATAAACTCTGAAGCCAACAGGAATAGGTGTTTAAAAAAAAAAAAAAGAAAAAAAAAGAGAAGTTTAAAGGTAGAAAGGATCATACAGCAGAGAGAGAAAAACAAATCAGAAGATATGGATTCCAGCTCCCAGTTACCTTTATTAATGAGTGACCTTGGGTATACAGCAAATTTTATATAATTTGGTATAATTACATCATCAGAGTAAGTTTATTGCTGCCCAACATGGTAAATATATCAGAAAAGTTCCATAGGATTGTTTAATCTCAGTATATTATATATATCATATTATTTCATATTAGATGCAATGCTATGTTCTTCCCCAATGCAACTCAATGTCTAAAGCCATCTCATAAGAATCAAAGGCTCCTATGATTAATGGCAATGTTAAAGAAAAGGCCAAGCGGCAGTTTAAAAACAAGTTCTTCCCTTGCTTTTTAGCTTATCTCTCCCTTCCGCCAGCCTTTATTCTTCTGATTTATTCAAGAAAGATGCATAAAAGCATCTTATTAGCAATTCTTATCCAGGAAATATGAGCACTTAGGGTTGATTGAAAGGGAACTGGGAGAAGAGGGGAGTCAAGAGGAAGAAGAATGTCATACAATTAAAAAAATCCAGTTTAATGGCAGTCAAGAATATCATTTTGTGTAAATCTGATTTATCAGATATTTAAAACATCCTAGCAAATTCTTCATTTTATTACCTCTAAACAGTTTCCCTGGGAGGGAGGAGGACGAAAGGGATAATTCGGCACACGTGTGTGGTGATGGGTTGTAATTAGTATTTGGGTGGTGAACATGATGTAATCTATGCAGAAATAGAAGTATAATGATGTACACCTGAAATTTATACAATGTTATAAACCAATGTTATTGCAATAAATAAAAAATTAAAAATAAAATAAAATAAAAAAATAAACAGTTTCCCTTTCCATGAACATTTATTCTGATGCTTAGAAAAAGTTCAAATTCATCTAAATTGTAAGTAGGGTTTTGGAGGCAATATAGTCAAGGGTATTACTGTTTTACATGCAGTTAAGTTGAAATTGTTAGGCTGATCCTTATTACAACCAGCTTCCGGGGAAGGTAGTGCTGTCCTCTCAGCAGATGTTCTAAAACAGTTTCCCCCCACCCACCTTTTTTTTCATAAGGAGGATTTCTGGAACATGCTGAAAGCAGTGTGTTGATGCCTTAGTGACTAAAATTAGATTTCTGTCAGCAACTTTCATTAAGGTTAGCTTTTAGCCTGTGCCCTCCTCATGTGCCTGTGGATTTAGTTCTGGATTAGCAAATGCTAATACACATATAAATACTCTCTATGACCCACACATGTTTAGCAATCTGATTATATATATATATATTTTTTGAAAGCTGCCCTTGTGTTTTTTTTTCTTTTTTGCTGAGGAAGACCGGCCCTGAGCTAACATCTATTGTCTATTCTCCTCCTAATTTTTTTTTCCCTTTTTCTCCCCAAAGCCCCAGTAGATAGTTGTATGTGGTAGCTGCACATCCTGCTAGTTGCTGTATGTGGGACGTGGCCTCAGCATGGCCGGACAAGCAGTGCGTGGGTGCACGCCTGGGATCGGAACCGGGGGCCACCAGCAGCAGAGGACGAGCACTTAACAGCTAAGCCACCTGGCCAGCCCCGGTTATATTTTTTAACTGTACGTTTTAACTCCTCCTGCTATCCTTAATTTTAAGAGATGTGAACCAATTCACAACATTTGTGTCTTTCGTAGTCCGTTTAACTTCTAACCGGGTAGTCTGTCAAAGCCTTGTTCCCCAGAGCCAGCTCAGAGAATCTAGAAGTCTCCTGATCTCGCCTCAACTCTTACGATAGGGCCTTTTGTGTGCACAGTTCTCACGAATTAAAGAACTTAAGTAACTTGAGAAAGAGATAAAACGTCTTCTCAAAAGGTAATTGTTCATTTCAGGGCACACTTCGGAGATGTTTTTAAGCCAGCGCTGCATCTGATGGGAGCAGAGAGGATAAGAACAGTCCCCAAACGTGGGGGCTTAGCACCCAGAGATGCCTCTAGTTGAGCTGACAAATCTCTTAAGTGGGAAACAGTCAGTTTTCCCTCCACGGGGCCTCGGCGTGTGAGAGGAGGGGGATGGGCAGGGGGCATCAGGGGAGAAGTCTCCGGCCTTTCCACGTCTCTCAACACCATCCCTCCCCCACCCCGCCTCCTCCTTTGCCCGAATACTAAACAAGCCAGCGGGAGAGGGGCCCCGGGGCAGACTGAGCCGGGAGCCTTGGCCTTTGCGGCTCTGCCCTCGACGGTGGTGGCGAAGCAGAGGGGGCGGAGACGCGGGCCGGAGACCCTCGGCCGGGGCTTGACCCCCAGGCGCATTGTCCGGCAGGGTCCGCCCCCTCTCCCCCGGGGCCGCGACCGACCTCCACGGGACCCCCTCCCAGCGTCTCCCTCCGCCGGCCGCGCCGACCTCGCGGTCCCCAGACCAGGGGCCAGATGTAGAAAGTAGTCCCCAGGCCGGCAGCGGAGGCGCTGTCCACTCCGCCGCCCCCGCCCCCTCCAGCAGCCGGCTCACTCCGCCCCCAGGCCGGACTCTCAGGCCGCCCCCGTCTCCTGCGAGCGGGTGTCCGTGCACCGGCCTCGCCGCGACCGCGGAGATCGGCCGCTGGCCGCGCCGCGCCGCGCCGCTGCCCGAGCGGGAAGCCCAGGCTGCGCGCGTCCAGCTGAGGCGCGGGGAGGGCCCGGAGGCGGGGGCCGGCAGGCGGACAGCGGCTGCGGGGCGGCCGGGGAGCATGCCCGCGCAGCCCCGCTGAATGGCGTCTTCTCTGCGACCCCTCGCCCGGCTGCGACCGCCAGGGATGCTGCTCCGCGCGCTCCTCCTCCTGCTGCTCCTCTGCTCCATTCCAGGTGGGCGCGCTTTCCTCTGTGCCTGTGGGGCGTGAGCAGGCCCGAGTGGGCTGGGGGAAGAGGAAACTGGGTGTGCGTGGGTGTTTGCGGGGGCCGGCGGGGTCTTCCGCGCGGCCGCTGACCACGGGTCCCTGCCCGCTCCCTGCACCCAGTCGGGAACCGCTGCGGGAGGCGCGAGCTGCCCGCGCGGGCTCTGCGTTGTCGCGGCCGGGGCTGTGGGCACCTCTCCCAGCGCGCGCCCCTCCCCGCTGCGCTCCCCCAGCAGCAAGCTGCGGGGCCGTGGCGCCCGCTGTCCACTCTCGCTCCTTTCTCCTGGGGCCATTGTCCCGCCTCCGGCCGCGTCCTCGCGTCCACTGCCAGACGGGGCTCCGCGCCGCCCGCCCGCCGGGGCCGTCGCGGTCGCACGTGGCTTTATTTATATTGTTTCTTAGTGGCAGCCTCGCCACGCAGGGGGCGCCGCGGGTCCGCGAGGCTTCCCTTGTTTGCATTGGGGGTTCCCCCCATGTTTTAGGGCCGGGGAGAGAATAAGTGAACTCATCGCCCAAGTCAGCTGCCCTAGTGCCCCCACTTTCCCGGATCCGGATCGTGCGAGGAGGAGACGGGAGGGGTAGAATTGGAAAGAGGGTTGGAAGTTGCGAGACCCATTTGTGCCCGAGAGGGGAGGGAGAAAGGTGCCCGAAGCTGAGAAGGAAGGTATCTAAATAGGATTTATTTCTCGCAGCCAGGTATTTGGGGGCAGGGCCTGAGGTGTGCACGAATCTGAAGATTCCTCCAAACTCCGGGTTAGCCTTGCGCAAATTTAGATGAACCAGGTTCTCTTTGCGTCGGTGTTTATCCTCAAAATAAAAAGTGTAAAGTGGATGTGTGGATGTGTATGGGGGGAGAGGTGTCGAGGAGAATGGGTTATTTTATTTATTTACAAGGTACAAACCCCGGGCTTTCGTTTTCCTAGAGGAGTTAGTTTTCTGTTAGCATGAGAAAAGGATCAAAGTCAGATGTGACTCGGAAACACAATGGGCGCCTTCCGGAGTGGTCCTCGCTGCGAGGCTGTTAGGGTCGCTCGCGTCGCCCTGGGCGTACATTAGAAGTCGGCAGCCCTGGCGTGGGAGCTTGACTAGTGTGTGAGGTTTCCGAGACCCTGCCTTGATGAGAAACAAGTCCATCGAGGGGATTTGTAATCATGGATTCAAAACAATCAGAAGGAAGATGAAACCTTCCCCCCAAACCCCTGACACTCTACTCGGCCCCAATCAATACCCAGGACTTTAACTGGCCTTTGCACTAAAAGCAGGAGGTGACAGGGTATTAGGTGGTCATTGGATGCTTTATCCTGGCGGGGGACCCGGGATGATGTGTATGCTTAGGATAAAGCCTTTCCTCTGCTCTGATAAAAATGTGTATTGGTTGATTAAGCAATCTCCTATCCCTATTAGACAGTAAGGACCAATTAGTCACGCATTTTTTTTTTCAACAGTGGGTAGTTGCAAAAAAATGAAATAAAAGTTTTCTAATCCGATCACCCACTGAGTACAAGCAGCAAGAGTTACCTACTTTTCAGTCAATTGTTTGTCCTTTAAATACCTACCTTACTTTGCAGAAATTAAGTAAATGGGTCTCTTTCCAGAAGAGGAGAAAGAGTCCTTGTTGTAAAAGGGCAGATATAAAAATGCAAACTCGTAATTTGTCACAGAAGATAAACGCACTTCCCAAAGGAGTAGGTGCCAAGGGTTCCAAAAACACTTCAAGGGACGAGGAAATAAACTTGCTTGTTCACAGAGTTGGAGTTTTGCTAATGATTTCTTGTAAAATTAGACTTTTACGACTTACTCTGTTCAAGATCTTTTTGACAAGCTTGTAAAAGTAGACAGGTTGTGCTCATGAGTTTTCCTGATGATTTTGAAACTCTAGCAAGGAACTTAAGAACAGAATTCTTACAAGGCATAGAAGTTATTGAAGTCTTCTCTATGCTTTTAGTGTAGATGTTGTAAAAGATGATTTCTCTAATTTGTTGAAACGGTTTGCTGAAACTTAGATTGTTCTATTCAGGTGTCTTAAGTTAACTAATATGGTTTGTTAAACTTTGTCTTATTACACGTGTACCTGAATATGTTTTACAATTGTGTGTTAAGAAATAATTTTATACATATAATTCTGGATATGCCTTTCCCCGTTTTTCCTTATAGGAGTGTGGTGCTTCAGTGAACTGTTTTTTATAAAAGAGCCACAGGATGTAACTGTCACAAGAAAGGACCCAGTTGTTTTAGAATGCCAAGCTCATGGAGAAGTTCCTATTAAGGTCACATGGTTGAAAAATGGAGCAAAAGTGTCTGAAAATAAGCGGATCCAGGTTCTGTCTAATGGCTCTTTATACATCAGTGAGGTGGAAGGCAAGCGAGGAGAGCCATCTGATGAAGGATTTTATCAGTGCTTGGCAGTGAACAAATATGGAGCCATTCTTAGTCAAAAAGCTCATCTTACCTTATCAAGTAAGTGTTTAAGTTATTGATTGTTGACGTTTTTCATTGTCACATTTTGATGAGTTCTTGATTCATTAATATGCTGACCTTAAAAATCACACATACGTTAAGAATTGTCCTGGAGAGAATAGTTGATGCTACCTAAGGCATGCAGAGAAATCTGAGGAAAAGAAAATTTCGAATGAGTGATTGAAAACAAAAGTCAAGTTAGGTTTAGAACACCAAAACCTGTAGAGGTGGCTTTATATAAATTTAAGTGTTTCACACTATGAAGAGTTGCATGTAGAGGTTTGGCCAACACAGCAAAAGTTGTTCTAAAATCTCCTCTTTTGGAAATTAGTAATGAAATTTAAGCAAATCTTTCTGCTTTGTAGTGGCCCTTCAGTGCTAAATCTTTCTTATAGCCCATCCTTCCATGTCTCTGACTGCTTTAAGATCACCCATGTTGCTTTTTAATTGTAAGAGAGGGCATTGGTCAGTAACTCTCAAGCCTTTGAAGTATTCCTAGTCTTTTCCTGCTGGGACAGCAAGAGATTAAGGCCATTTCCATATTATGACTAATGGATTTAAACCAGATCTGCCCACTTTTTTCTAGTTGTCATAAAGTTTGCTGTCTAATGATTTCCTTTGTATTAACAGCCCCATCAGATCAACCATTTGTCCAGGTGATCCATTGCTTAGTGGTTGACCTGATAACTGTTGAGTGTAAAAATGGGCCTAGGAAAGAGAGGGAACTCCTCCTTGTTGCCACTGAGTCTTTCCACCTCTTCAGGCAATCAAACATGCAGCACTCAGGATTACAATAGACTTTTAAACCTAAAAAAAAAACCCAACACAACTGTATCTTAAAAATAGTTTTACAGGCCTCCTAGCTACATGCTTTTGCTTATCCACTAAAGATTGATTTTGCAGCATGCCTACAAATTGATCCTTTATGAAATGAAAAATAGGAAGAGGGAGCTTTTGAGATGAAGTCATAATCTTTAGGAAACAGTTTCTTTAAGGTTTACACAGTTGGAATTTCGGAAGCTATTGGCAGGGGTTTCCTAGGTGACTTTAACTATTGTAACAGTTCATGGCCGTATTCATGCCACCTTCATATTAGTAATTTATTTTATTTGTAAAATTATGACTAATTGTAGAAAATAAATTGCAGGCAAAGATATTTTTATATTGAAATTTGTCAGAAAAGTAGAGAAGTTTCCGATTCTAGCCCCCCTGATGAATAATAGCATAAACCTGAAAGAATTCCTGATAAACTTTTTTTTGCTGTGGTCATTGTCTAATGATCTTTTTTTGTTGTTATTGTTGAGTAATGGTTTTCCTGTACAGTACTGTTTTCAGGATAGTGTACTTTTTTATGCTTATGTTCTGTTCATTTAATTTTTGTCTAAAGTAAAATTATTCTATAGATTTTTCATTTTTCCACCTCTTCGGGTTTATGGAATCTTGTGTTGTTATATCCAGGAACTATAACTTGTATGACTTTGTTGGAGAGGTGAGAGATAGGATGGAAAGGTGGAGAGGGATGGATAGGCTTTAAAAAGATAAAGCATTTGTCATAACCACACGTTATTTCCAGGACCTCCTTGGAAGCCTGTCCGAATTCTGGGGCACCCAGAAATACTTTGAAAACACACAGAGCTTTCAAACTTCATGAAGAAAGTCTGAACAGTGTAATGGATGTTAGTATTGGCTCTTTTAGTATCTTTAAAAATTATTAATAAAAATATTTAGATGTGAATCATTTTGAAGGCTATTGTGGTCAAGTAGTTTTTATGTAAGTATCAAAAACTATGTAGAACATTGTGTTGCTATTCTCAATATCAACTATAATCAGTTTTCATATGCACACATTTTATTTAATTCTGAGGAGGTATTTTGCTAGGAAATTGCTTTCAGTATTATGGATTTAAAATAAATACGTAGTGGGTTTAGATTTTTCTTTAGAAATATGAGCTTTCATAGAGATTCTGAATTCACAAAGTTAGTTATGATATCTAAGAAGCAATGTCCAATGATGTAGGGTCAAATGACTTTACGTGTGTTCAGGGTAAAGATGTTATACATATTAAACAGGAAGAGAATAGGCATTAAGTGGACATTCTGGTTTTTTGTTTTTTTTTTTAAAGCTGATTCTCTCCTGGTTGTTGATAGCAGCAGGGTGCAAGTATGTTCTTTTTATTTTCTGGTCAAAGATTTTTGTCAGCAAGCATAGCTTTTGCTTCAGAAGTGTAATACTATGGCCCCTAGAAATCTAAAACTTTAATCTGTGCAAGTTTTAGATTTTTAACACACAGGCAATCAAGTCTTGGTTTCTAAATTTAGGAACTAGAAGCTGAAAGTTGCACTCTAGGCAAGAATTCCATTATTCATGTGTAAATTAGGAATTCACAGGGTTAAAAGGTTAGAAACTGGCCAGGATGAGGTTTACCCTTGTGATAAAGAGCAGATGACCCTCATTCATTGGCCAAAGCTTTCATGTAGCTCTTCTGCAAAGTTAGTTATTGCCATGAATTGTTCTTGAGGAATGCAGAAATTCAAATGTGAACAGGCCTTTCCTTAAGTGTCACTATGGAGCCTTATCTCCCAAGCACATCAGAGCAGGGCTGTGGGGACAAGGTTCCTCCCCAAAGGCCTGGAGGCTTTGCTTTCCTGTTGTTCATCCAAGCACAAAAGAATTTGTCTGACTTAGTTTTTCTAAGGCATCCCATTTTTAAAGGAAAGTATAGGGTTAAAGTAATATTTAGTTTTTTTAAAAAGGTAATCCTTTTTATTGATAGGCATTTTAGCCATTTTACATTTTCATGTAATTAGAATAGAAAGGGGAGTGATGTGGGAGGCCCTTTTTCTGGTTGTATACAGTTGTAAGAACAGAAGATTAAACCGTTTCCTATAATTTGAGTATTTTTAACTTTTGGCAAATTGAATTTTCACTTTCATGGCTGCTAAGTCTTCACTATATAAATAATTTAATTTAAATATTTTAGGAGTAAGAAATAATCCATGGACATCTTGACATTTGTTGCATTCTTAATGTTGAAATAAGTAAGATAAATTTCATAGGAAAGCATTCGTGTGGTAAAACGGTCTCATATTTCAACACGTTTAAATTAAGATAAGAGATATTGAGAGAAGTAAAAGAGGAGGCGGGGTTGTGTTCTGTGATGTGTAAAAGACTGGCTGTAAGCTAGTGATTGAACAGGAAGCTAGTTGTTTATTTCCTTTCCATAAAAGGTGGAAATTGAAGTCTTAGGATAGAGGGAAAGAGAACATAAAGCTGGCTTATATTTCTTAGGTTTTTCAGGACTGTTCACTAGGGTGAAAAATAATTTTTTAAGTAAGCATTTGTAGCTGGAAGACCATAGGAACTGTTGTAACTATCATGGATTTTTTTTCCAAAATTTTCGGATTAGTTTTGACTTCCATAAAGTTGTTCAGGTGGTCCATTTCTATAACTTTATGCGGCAATAGTTTCCTTTAAAAGGGTGTAGGTTGTTTTCCATGAATAAAATGTTTATCACTTCAGTTTAAATTGAGATGAAACTTGAGGTTTCTTTGTGAGATTAATGAAAAACTGTTCTCTGAGTGTGGTTTCTATCTTAAAGAATAATACATAAATTATAGTCCAAAGTTGATCTTGAAATGTGAAGTTAAAATATATTGAAAACATTTAAAGAGTCATGTTAAAAAAAAAAGAGAGTGGGTGGTATATTGAAAAGAGAAAGATAAGAACTATGAGACTATTATCTTTGATTTTGAATTTTATGATGATCCTGGGTCCAAGATGGGCAAGATTTTGCTACATTGTCACTTTTTATAGAGATTTTTAGATGCTGCAAAGGATAGTGTCTCTTACCTGTGTGCGTGTTCACTTCAAATCAAGCTGTTAACAGTTACCTGCCCTAATCCAAGAGTGCTAACACATAAGTAAAAGTCATTTGATTTTGGAAAAATAAGACAGAACTGAGAGATTTAGGGAGACCGGTCTGCAACACTGTAGAATAAGGTTCAGCTGATGCTTTCTGGGATCCAAGAAAAATCATCTTTAAAAAGAGGGGGCATGGCGTGCTGGCCTGGTGGCACAAGTGGTTAAGTGTGCGCACTCCGCTGTGGCGGCCAGGGGTTCGCCGGTTCGGATCCCGGGCGTGCACCGACGCACTGCTTGGCAAGCCATGCTGTGGCGGCCTCCCATATAAAGTGGAGGAAGATGGGCATGGATGTTAGCCCAGGGCCAGTCTTCCTCAGCAAAAAAAGAGGAGGATTGGCAGATGTTAGCACAGGGCTGATCTCACAAAAAAAAAAAAAAGAGGGGGTATGCTTCAAAAGTAGATGTTTAACTTAAAAATTGACCATCTTAAAATTGCATGAGTTAAGTCAGGGAAGTAAAAGCACATTTATAGTTCTACAGGCTTATTTACAATGACACTTGGTTCTTAAAGTCTGTCTACTTAAAAGGTTTATCAGGTGCCTGATAATCTCTGGGTAATGGAACCAGTTTTTCCCACTTGGCACTTGATTAGTGAGGATCATTTCTCATCTTCAGAAACCTGTAACACTATCTCACTGTTTTTCAAAGTTGTTGGATTTTTAATTTTTTAACGAAGCTGGATCCACTGAGGGGTAGAATTACAATTTTCTTTAAGATGTATGTAAGTGTATTTGTTTATTTTATTTCTGTCTGGCTTCTTAATGGAATTTTGAGAGGGCCTTTGGTATGGCCCTCTTTGGTCAACTATCTCTGATGATTCTAAAGAAAGGGCCTTGCTCAGCAGTTGTTTGCTCAGGGATTTGTTGTCATTGCTCCTGAATTTAACAGCTGGGCCTATTGATAAAGTCCAGAGCAATTTAAAAGAATAGCAAAAAACAAATCTTTTAAGCAGGGTGTTAGGTTGAAGGAGTATTTCAATTAAAAAATACGTGCATTTGAGGTTACGTTTTTTGAAAACCATAATGTTCTTGACTACAGTTTTGGAGATAATTTTTCTCTCTTATAGGCAGAGTTGCTC